CTCAGAGAGATATTTATCGATTTTTACAGATATGGCGATGATTCTCGATGAATATCTTCCCAAAAAATTTCCTGATGTAGTAAATTGCAAGCCTAAGTTAAACAAGTTATGAGAAATAAAAAATTTTATTAGATAGTTATATTAATTATAATAACAAAAAACTACTGGTATCTAATATAATAAATAATAAATTATTATTATAAAGAATAATTATAAAAAAAAGCTTATCCAGTACTTGTAAATAAAGTAATTTTTTCATTTTCTTCATATTAATCATTTTGCATATAAAATTATATAAATTTGTATAAGAATTATATGAATTATAATGAGTAATTAGTCATAATTATGATCAAAATCATGATTTAACTTAGTCATAATGTAATATCAGAAATCAATTTTTCTAATTTGATATATTGTGACCAAATTTAAAATAATTATTAAAAAGATCAATATAATTGATCTGATCTTAGATCAGACTGGCTCCAAATCAAAGATCACAAGAACTGATTCAAAGATCGAGTTATGAACGGTCTTATCAGGACTAATCCAACTCTATAATTGCATATGTTACTTAGTGTGAAAAATAAGAACAAACTGTATTCAATTGGTAAAAGTTCATTTTTTGGATGAATCAAGTGAGAAGATTGGAAAACAATTCATGATAAATAAGAATATGACAAATACAGGCGAGAGATTTAATGACGAGTGATTAGGGTCCACTTTCAAACGCAGTAATGGTTTGTAATGTTATGAAAGATCATTAATATATTATAATTAAAAAAAAAGAAAAAATCAATGCAAATACTTATCTTAGAATTCTAAAGACTCTTCTATTATTATTTTACAATACATTTCATACATCAATGGGAGGAAACATTTTCGGCAGGATAATGCTCCTGATCCATATATCAATCAAATTTACAGAATAGTTCAAAAGAAGATCAAGATTATGGATTGGCCATTGAAATCTCCTGATCTTAAACCTATAGAAAGGGTTTACCCCAACATCTTGACACCCATCTTCCCGACAACCCAATTTTCCCGACAACCCAACTTACCGACAGTCCGACATCCCGATAATCCAACTTCCCGAAATCTAACATCCAGACATACCTAACATCCCGACAAACCAACATCCCGACAAACCAACTTCTCGACAAATCTAAACTTCCCGACAAACTAGTACAATTTCTGGTTTTTATAGGGATCGACCACTAGCAATTTAGGATCTTCAAAAAATGATGTCGGGAGGTTGGAATTTCGGGAAGATGGTTATCGGGAAGATGGGTGTTGGCACCCTATGGAAAATATCTGGAAACTGATAAAGGATATTATCCAAAGCATGAAAGCTTCCAAGAACCGTGGACAAAGGTCAAAACTGCTTTAAAAGAGGAGTGATCGAAATTTGATGTCGATATGCTTAGGGAAGTTATCGGCTCAATGCTAAGAATTAACGCGATATTGGTGACAAAATATTAATTAAATATGAAAAAATAAAATAAACCGGAATTATATATGAAGTTTTATGTTAATTGCAAATCGTGCGTTACTTTTTATGGCGACTGTCATACTTTCTATATGTACATGTACAATGAATTTTCGCTCTAAATGCATGCTAGTCATATATACATGTAGTTCCGACTAATGGCATTTTAGGGGAGAGTTGACTAAAATCACACAAATACGCGTGCTATCGTTATCGTTACAAAACTATATTCTACAATAAAAATTGAACTTTTAAAAAGATACTATATATTATCGTTATAACTTGTATATACTATTTTTGGTCCTTTTTCAAGAACTAGAAAAAATACCTCGGTATCGACTAAAACAAAAAATTAAAAGCTAACAATAGGTTAACCATCCAGATGACTATTTAAAATCTTTGATTTAACGTTAGCCCATAACCTTGTCGTTGTCGCATAACCAGACATAGAACAATCAAAAAAATTGCTTCTAACACACTAATCATTTCCCTATTTACAATATTTGATTAGCAAATCCTTGAACAGACAAAAAATATAACTATGTACAAACATATGTCGGATGCGTTAAACAAATTACAATTCCATTGTGGTTTCTCAAACCGGCGACGAGACGAGAAAAGCCTAACCTGGAAATACTCCAGAATCAGCAGCAGTGACACGTCCCCTTTCCATCATATCCGGCTTACCAAACATCGTCGACGTCGTGAATCGTGGTTCGGTCAACGTGTTTGAAGAAGGCCACGACAAGATCACGGTGTCATTACTATCCTCGTCGTCCTCCTCATAGTTTTCGCCACATTTGCACCATCGGTGCAACGGCGTGTTGTCATACTCGCATATTACGAATATTGTGTAGAGTAATGGTCCACTGTAAAAGTAGAAAAAACACAAGATCAAACAAACCGAAAAATAAAATTTGCATATAGAAAAGAAAACTCACAGTATTGCTTTGAGATGTAACAAAAATATCGGTAGTTGATAGGAATTTGCAATCATTACATTGTATGCAGCGGCAGTACTATTAGATACATTTATTACGGTAACTAGTAGGCATGCACTCGCGAGGGAAAGAGAGTACCTAATATAAGAAATTTTGTGAATAGGATTCTATGATGGAGAGAGAGAGATATATATATATATAGATGACAATTACCAAAAAAAAAACGTTTGCTTACCAATATCCAAGCACAGTTCGTTCAATCTGCCGTAACCATATGCTGCAAAACGCATATACCGAGGCAACTAAAGATGATAAATAAATAAATAAATGCTATTTGAATAAATAACAGTAGCAGTGGATTACTCACCAGCAAACCCTAATCCGATTACAGCAAAAGTCACGGTAGGAATAATCTGAAATAGTCGATAATTACTAGGCCCTAAATCACACCCATCGTCTTTAATCTTGACACCCCAGTAATCGTCATTCGAAAGACTGAACAGTTGAGCAAGCGATCCAACAACCGCCACGATCCAAATAATCGACGTTAACCACGAATACAACACTTTTTCCATATTTTTATTTCTTGCCACAGCGAACCAAAGATAGAAGGTCAGCGCTGCTGGTATCATTTGTAATGGATAAGAAAGTAGATTACTGAGATGTGCTTGAAATATACACAGTGTTCCTGGCGTTTTTGGTGTCAGAGTATTGTAAATTACGATGAGCGGTATTCTGAAAATTCTTTCAAAAAAACTTGCGAGAAAGTATTGGCGTAATGTCCGTTTCGTGAGAAAAGGTTTTGTGCGTGGGTGCAAAAGGATAATTATTGATGGTATTATCAACAGTAATCCTATCGATTCGAGACAAATATACAGCGTAAAGAAAGACTTATTTGTTGTCGTTGACATCTTCGCCCTTTTTCTTTGTATTTATGAATGATTAAAATTCATAATAAGTGTTTTTTAGATCAAAAAATTAAAGCGCTTCTTGTTCTCGTTTCTTGTAACTATTTTTTAATATTCTATTTTCCGGCACAGAATAATTTTGTTAATTTTCACAAACAGCGGTTTGCTTTGCTTTGATTAAAACCGATTGGAAATAAATTTCAAACGTTACTAAAAATTCGTAAGCACTGAATATTTATATTTGATTTTTTCGTATGCATGTATGTATCGTCGTCAAGAAATTAAATTGGTATCATTCATATATGGGAAACTATAATTAGCATAGAGCGGCAAAAAGATATAAAAAGAAAATTTTATGTGGGTGTGTTGAGTGCTTGTCTGTGTGTAAGTGCAAACGTTTAGTGTAGACACTTTCTACGCACATATGCATGGAGATGAGTGAATGAATGAACACAGTTTCGTAAGGAAGCAAAAGCTTTAGTAAAAAAAAAAATATTAGAATACGTGAACAAATACAAGCACAATCATATCATACTACATGTACATGTTTATTAACGATAAGCTAGTTACATGTACTTGTACATGTAGTATAAAGTAACATCCATAAATTTCCAATTTTGGATAATCGTCCCGAGAATTTCTTTTTCCTCTTTGATTTATGCATGGTTTTTTTATTCATGCAGGTAATTTATTTACTTTTGATTGTACGTTCATTGAATAAAGTATTTTTTATTATGAAGCATTCTTATTATCAGCTATTTTTGACTATTGTTATTCGAGTTAGTATTGTATGCTATATTTTAAAAAATGATTGAAACGTTTGAATATTAAAGTTGGGAGAGAAGCTCAGACATAGCTCGTAAAACGTAATAAATTTTACTACATGTAATAGAAATCAATGTTTTACCAACTCACTCTTTGTTTTCTTACTCGTGACTAGTGTTTAACTTAATTTCACCCTTTAATATGTCACTTACTTTACATAAACAAAAAAAATATACGATGCTTGACAACATTTGTATCGTGGAAAGCCAAGAAAACTTACGACGACAAAAAACCAGTAATTCATTTCTTGGCATGTACACAAGTACGTTAAATTTCCCCCCTTTATAACATTAAGATTATGGATCATCGTCATTATACCAGAATGAAAAGACTAAACCCAACTTAGTCTGATTGACACCTCATTTTCTCATTTTTATCAATATCATTGTCGTAATATTAACGTCAATCAGTTAATCACTAACCGATTTTGCTTTCAGTTCAGGACGCACGTTAGCAGATTTAAATCAAAATTTTTCATGTTCATATATATGTAAATAGTCATATTAATTATTTTGTAATTTTAACTATAATTATCGTATATGACCGAAAATGAGAAACCTCGGGAGAGTTTTCTTCTCTTTTAAGGCTTACGAATTTGGTTTTTATTTTTGAAGCCTTGCAATAATACAGAAAACGTGTTAAATCTAACTTGAAGTTTTAATGGTGAGGCAATATTATGTATTTTATTAGTTTGTTTTCTTGTAGTCAGTACAGAGAAGTTTCTTATTTTTGATACTTGATTTTTTTTTCTTTTCAAAATAAGAGGTTTTTTATTTTTTTGCTGTTTCAATTACTAAATCTCAGCTGACTATTAAAAATATATACGATGCGTGTATTACTAAAGTTCTTATAATAATAGTTTAAAAAAGAATTTATGTTTCACTATGCATATTTAGATTTTAATTTTTTATACGACAACTATACACATGTATATCGGATATTGTCAATTCAATTGACACTTGAATTTATGATACATAGAAATCTTATTTTAGTCATAATCGGTATTACATATACGGATGAAAATCACCGGAGCTCTGTCGACTCCGAGTTGGATTAAATTTTCATTTGATATTATATTTATTATATTTTATTCTCTCGATATAAATTATGGTGAAGAGTTTTTCCTTGCCACGATACCTTCATTATAACGAGAGTGAATTGTGATCTGATTAAGCAAAAATATTATCATATTTTTGTTTGTTGATGCTAAAAAATGAAATCCACCGCTTTAGGATGAAACGGTAATATTTTTGATATATACAAAGATCCCATTCGAGCGGAAAATACTACAGTCTGATTCCTCTTGATTAGATAATTGAATGGTAAGTATTTTCGCTCGAATCGAATCACTAAATGTTGAGAAAAGTAACATGAAAGTTTAATAAACATTTAATTAGGAAAATATTCTAACTATTTCTCTTATGATTGAGCAAATCAATAATTTTAGCTCATTCATTTTTTATAATATAGAAATTTTTGCGGTTTACATTTGTTTATCAATTCCATATAAGTTGCTGAGTATTCTTAATTAGACATGAAATTAAACAAAAAATCGAAATAAAATGGGAGATTTGACACGTGCTCGTCTGCGATTCCAAAAATCTATTTTGAGTCCAAGTTCGGGTGTTCTGTACCATTACAGGTAATTTTTTAATAATTTACTTAATCTTGAGTATCATTGTCATCTAAGATTACAATTACAATGCCCACATGTGTATTAATGCTGTTTGCATTAAAATATCCAAAATTTCTAGTAGTTAAATCGTACTATTTAGTGTTCTATGTCGAAAATGAAGTTACATATATATAGTTACAACATTGAAAAAATATATACAGTAAAAAGTAGAATTGTCTCAAATTTAAACTTAGTCTTAGGAAACCAAATGATGATAGCTAAAAAGAAGATGACCTAACCTCATTAATTGTAATTAATGTACAAGTAGGTGCAAAATTATCGAAGCCCCAATTTTATCATACAAAATACAAAGACGAATACTACGGCAATGAAGAGGATGAATCTGATTAAATGACAAGCTAACGAATGACTAAAATAAACTGGTTCAACTATATGTCCTATATTTTCAGGAAGTTTTTCTTCGATTGTGATTAGCACATTTTCCCCTAAAATTTCCATCGAGTCTCTTTCTCGTAATGTTGTCTCTTTAGATACTTGATTGTCTTCCATATTTTATTGGTTCAAAACACCGGAGTCGTTCTAGAAATATGCAAAAACAGAAAAATTCTATGAATTAAGACGCTCTCTTTTCATTTATGGGCACTATATATGTTTTAGATTACAAGTTATAAATAAATTTTGATATAACGAATTTTTCATGAATAGACTTCGGTTCGTGAATTTAAAGCGATACGTCTTTTGTCTATTTCGTTTTGACAATTAATACAAAGACAATACAGCATTAGTATATTCCATAATCTTTGATTTATATAATATTTCAGTTTCATTGATAGTATAACAAAATGTTCGTAACGATATTGATAGTCTTTTGCCCTAACCAATGTGTGTTACGTGTGTTATTGAATAAAATGTCGGAATCAACATATCAGTGTTCCATTTCCGTATATTTATGCAAAAGCTGCGTTACAATTGGTTCAGTATATATGTAATAATTAGAATTGATTAATTCATTCTGACTTTGAGTAATGCGAGTGCGGGTTTAATCATCGCTGTGTGCAACACTGAAACACATTTAAGTTTGTCTTCAATTATACACTGTCACATGATTATTATTATAACACATTGCTTGAATAAAGACAATTTAAAAATTTATTAACGTTAAGCCCACAAATATTACGAAGGCGTTATTAAAGGCTTATATTTTTCAGATTTTACGGGGTGGCGCCCAAATCCTGAATGCTCAAAATCCCGACTTCCAACATCCCAACATTCCCAAGATCCAACATCTCGACATTCTTAAAAAAATAAATAGAAATCAATGTAATGGCTTGTATGTACAAATTTCACACTTTACAATCGTTAAGATAGTGATAATCATTACTTATTACACGCATCTATATACATTTTGCATCTTTATTTTATTGCATAACTTTGAGTGCATTGTCAGGATTTGGGATGTCGGAGAGTCGGAATTTTGAGCGTTCAAGGATTTTTTATTTCGGAATCTTGGCTTTAAGGAATTTGGTTAGATCCAACCTTACGTGGTGGTAAATATATACTTACAGAGAATATCGGTCTACCCAAATCCGATGCCTACCTTTTCGAAAATCAAACATCCCGACAATCTAACTTCTCGATAGCCTAACATCCCGACAAACCCAACTTCTCAATATAATTACCACATTAAAATTCATCGCATTATTATTTTATAATAGCTAATCTTTTCTTTTGTGAAATTCCTACTAAAAATTCCTACTTTGTGATTTAATGACCCGCGAAACCTGTAGTAAACGATTTGTAATTTAGATAGTAATGTAATGACAAACCTGTTGATATAGGATAACTCTCGAAGGTCAGAGAGACAGGCAATGTGTGGTTTGAAGGAAAACAACTAATAAAAATTATTTTAACTCTTACCTGCGCTTCGACTTTTATTTCTTTATGGCTAATATGAAATTAATAGTTTTATTCTTTTGTGCTTAACAAAATCGAAGGTTTTACTACTTTAATTGATGCATCGCTTTTGATTCTTTTGATAGTGTTTTTATTATTCGATATTTGCTTTTTATTATTTTGATGTTGTATTTGCTATTTTGGTATTTGATTTTTATTATTTGTTGTGAATTTCTATTATTGTTTTGGTTTATTTATCATTTGTGTTGGGTATTAGTAAATTTTGCTTCTTTAAATTTAAATTATCATTTTGGACTTTGCATTTTATCCTTGATTACACAATCTCCATAGAGGATAGGCACAGGAGACCTTTCCCACCTTCATGTAAATCATCCAGTATAGTTCTCGCATCTACAATTCGTTAGTAACTTCTGAATTACAAGGGTTTTTCCGTTACACATCAACCTTGCGATATGATTGGTTTACCCCTTAAAAGATCACATGGCCTGACACTTGCGTAACATATCACCGATCGGACATGAAGTACGGCACCCCCAAATAACAAATTTTGTCAACAACTATGTTATTCAGTAATACAGCAAGCGTTTGATACAAGGGCGTGATCGGAGTAAAAAAGATGTTATTCTAT